AAACAGTTGCGAGCCAATGCGTTATATTTGGAATTGCGCTCCGGAATCAGTGCCGGATATCTGAAGGAACCGAATTATCGATAGCCGGATTTTTTATTCATGTCAACCTGTTTATATAATCAAGCAACACACACAGACACATAAACACACTCATACACATACACACATTCACATACACACACACATACACCACACCCACATACACACATACGCAAACAAACATACAATTATGCAAACTTTTCCGTTCTCCAACACACACACTTCTCATTTTTCACATTCAGACATGTGCCTCCACTTCTAATCCATAAATCGACTGAGATGCCCACCCGCGCATGACCACTAGGACATAAATGCAGTGTCATGATACCCACAGTACTTTCCCCACAACCGATCTCGCTTCTAACTTGACCTCGCTATTAAGGATTCTCGGTACATTATAGGTAACGAGATACACATTGGATAAAATTACGCTACGTACTCTTGTACTGGAGTAGAGTACGGTGTGTGAATGGAAGCGTAAATGAGCTCACGATAAAATGTTATCAGTGTTTATCAGAATTCCGTCTTGTTTTGCACTCATATTTTCCCCGCCTCCTCTCTTCCTCCCCTTCCTCCTTATCCTTCTCATTCCCTTTCTCTCCACCTTCTCTTCTCTTCCCCATCCTCCTCCTCCTTCTCATTCCCCTTTCTTCCACCCTCTCTTCTTCTTCCCTTCCTCCTCCTCCTCATTCTCTTTCTCTCCATCCTCTCTTCTCTCCCCTTCCTCCTCCTCCTCATTCCCTTTCTCTTTCTCTCCATCCTCTCTTCCTCCCCCCTTCCTCCTCCTCCTCTTCTCTTTCTCTCCACCTCTCTTCTCTTCCCCCCCTTTCTCTCCACCCTCTCTTCTCTCCGCATGTGGTGAGTTTCGCTGACCTGTTTACAAGTCCTTCTCTTTCTTCACATCCTTTAACTTCCTTCACATCCCTCACCGGATCCCCTCCTGCCCCCCCCCCCTTCCCTTGCCCTCTCTCCCTCCCCCTCCTACCCTTCGTAATGCTGCATTTGGTTCCACCCTTTACAAGGAGACATGTGCACAAAGGCAGGCGTGTGTGTGTGTTGCGTGTGTGGGTGTGTGTGTGTGCTGTGTGCGTGTGTGGTGTGTGTGTGTTGTGTGTGTGTGTGTGTGGGTGAGTGTGTTGTGTGTGTGTGTGTTGTGTGTGTGTGTGTTGTGTGTGGTGTGTGTGGTGTGTGTGCGTGTGCGTGTGCGCGTGTGTGTGTGTGTGTGGGTGGTGTGTGTGTGTTGTGTGGTGTGTGTGTGGTGCGTGTGTGGTGTGTGCGTCGTGCGCGCGCGGTGGTGTGTGGTGTGTGTGCGTGTGTCGTGCGTGTGTGTGTGGTATGTGTGTATGTGTCCGTATGCGTGCGTGCGTGTGTATCTGTCTCTATGTCTTGTCTTGTTCTGTGTTCTGTATATTTATTCGTCGATTCACAAAGTAAGAATTCCTATTGCAATTATATAGTTTACACAATCACTTCGAGTCGTATCAAATTTGCAATTGCGCCAAAGTTAAATGATAATTGATATCACTGGATTTCATCTCACGTGACCCAAGTCCCTGTTAAGTGTGACCTTCCTTTCTTTGTTTCTCTCTGCTTGTCTGCCTGTTTCTTCCTCTTCTGTTTCTGTCCATATGTAGTGGTCAATCTGTTTCTCTTTTAGTCTGTCTGTCTTTCAGTCTGTCTGTCTGTCTATCAAACTGTCTGCCTGCTTATCTGGTAACCAGTCTCTATCTGCCTCTGTTCCTCTTTTTCTGTCTGTTTATCCGCCTATATGTCTGCCTCTCTTTCTGTTTCTTCCTGTCTGTCTATCTATTTATCTGTCTGTCTGTTTCTCTCTTTCAGCGTCTGTCTGTCTGCCTCTCTGTTCTCTGTCTCTTTCTGGCTGTCTGTCTACTCATATATGTACACATAGTTCTCAGATCATGTTCGCGTGTTCACATTAATATGCAATATCAGGTGACTTACGTTAAACAAGTTTAGATGAAAGTGTAAATAAATAAATGCTTAGAGTGTTATATTTCTACTGCTCACTCTTTTTTTTTTCTTTTTTTTTTTTACTGTTTAAGCGTTCTTTGTAATTGTTTTCTAGTTCTATGTCTGTCTGTCTGTCTCGGTCACTCTTCTCCTCTCTCTCTTTCTTTTCTCTCTCTCTCCTTTCTCTTTCTCTCTCTCTCTCTCTCGCTACTTCTCCCTCTAGCATGGCTATTTTTGTACATGTCACCTGCAGATGGCGGGGACATCGCGCCACCAGACAATACGTGTTTCGATTCGTTTTGGTCAGTCTATATCTGTTACTATTAATGAGTCATGGTTTAATTATTAACATGTTTTATACCATCACTTCGCATACATAAACCTTAAAATCAGTCATAGTATAATAGCTACCATCCGGATTTTGACCGGCACTTCGCAGACATAGAACCCGTGTTTTCACTCCCCACGTAAGAATCATGATCGCACTCAC